AAATGTATGTTGTTAAGTGAGAAATTTATTAATTGAGTTTTGCCCCATTTTACAACTTTCCTCGCCACATTTGTTAAGTGAATCAGTGCAGTTGTGAAATTAAGTGAATCTGGTTTCCTCATTGACTTTGCTTATCAGAGGGTCGCAAAAGGGGATGACACGACCCTGGGACATTGCAACTGTCATAAATGTGAGTCAGTTGTCAAGCGTCTGAATGTAAATCCCACAACCGTGGGGATGCTACAACGGTCCTACAAAGTGTGAAAAATGGTTACTTTTTTTCAGTGCCGTTCAGTGGTGGGTTCCTCCCGGTTCGGCCCGGTTCCACCGAGCCAGTAGCAGTGACGATATGATGTAACTGAACCAGTTCTGCCCCCCTGCCCCTCCACATTATTCTTACCTTTTATTTGGCCCCACCCCCAATCTATTGCTGCCTCCTGAGTCCCAGCTGATGGCTAGAAGGAAAAGAACTGTTTAAACGCTTGCCGCGCGGCTTCAAAGGGCCGCCCTACAGCTGATCAGTGTTAAAAGGCAGTGTGGTGGTAGACCGGTGCCTCCAAAAACAAATGAGTAGACCAGTACAGCTCTGCAAGCAGTTAAAAGCCTGGTAGACCAGTACCTCTGCTAAATCCTAAAGAATTGTCACATGACTATCAAGCCATGCCCACAAAATAAGCCACGCCCACAGAACCGGTAGTAAAAAAATTTAGAACCCACCTCTGGTGCCGTTGTAACTTTGAAGGGCCACTGAACGAACTGTTGTAACTCGAGGTCTAGCTGTATAGACAAACAAAAAGAGACAAATCATAAAATACAATCCCAAATCATAAGATCCGAACAACACAGTGATCAATCATAGGATACTGACAGGAAATGATAATAGCAAAGATGAGAAGAGTAAAAGCAACGTAACGTCAGATTTTAAGGTTAACTCTCAAGATAATGTGTTTTTTTTTTCCAGTGCAGGATTGTTAAACTAGAGATTTTTGCCTCTCGCCAAAATATTTGAAAAGGACTGAAGACTGGGACATGGCAGGGTGTTAGTGCTGGTGCCCCTAATTGTCTTTCAAAAAATAAAATGTACTAATTGACAAATCAGAGGTGACCAATCTGATGTTCGCTGATTGAAAGTGAAAGCAAATATTTTGAGTGTAAAATTCTCACTCTTCGGCTTGCAGACAGCAGCTTGCCCTTAAACTTCCAAACAGATGACTTATTTTCTTCTGGATTCCCGTTAACTTGCCAAGACACTGCTGAGGGCCAGAGACTCCAAGGGTGCTTCGTCAATTAAGAATGGAGGAGCTCTTTCCTGTCCGAAATAATTAAGTACAGTTTGAGGTACAGCGAAGCAGATACGGGGTAGCTGCTTTGTGTGCAAATTGTGCCAGAGGAAATAATAGGGAAGACACAATTAGGAACAAAGCAAGAGATTAAATCAGCCAACTTTGCTTTGCAGGAAATAAACGAATCTCAGTTTCATCACCCTTTCTGGTCCATCAGCACTACTTAGCATCAAGCTAAACTTTGTCCGTAGGACTGAAATTCTTCCGTGACTTCATGGATTCCTCTTTATTGTTTCGCTTTGTTTAATTGTGTACCCAAGTCTTTAGGGCGACAAACTTTCCACAGATAGCTTGCAACAATTTTAAAACAAAAACACCAGTTTAAATACATTGGAATCACAGTAGCAAAGGCTAACGGAGCTTCTCATATTAACACACACACACACACCATGGAATCAAAAGAGAGAAAGCTTCAAGGCACATTCGAGGAAGGGAGGCTAAGGTTAAGAAAATTCTTCCGCAGTGGGGACCATTCTTTAAAACGATCTTTTGGGGAGATCCAGAAATCAGATGGATCCCCGAGTCCCATCTCAGGACATTAAAAGGGCTTTAGGTAGATAGCTTACTAAGGAAATCTTACTGAGTTCTGTAAGATCAAAATCCACATTACTGGCTATATGGTTGTACATAGGGGTGGGCTTCAAAAATTTTAGCAAGGGGTTCTCTGCCCAGTTGCTGGGTGGGTGTGGCCATGGTGGGCATGACCTAGTCAGCCTCCTGTACCATGGCGTGGGGGGGCGTTTTTGCCCTCCCCGGGCACCGGAGGCTTTCCTCGAGCCTCCGGGAGGGCAAAAATGGCCTCCCCAGACTCCGGAGGCCCTCTGGAAGTCAGAAACAGGCCCGTTTCTGGCCTTCCCGAACTTCCAGTAGGCCCATTTTTCGCCCTCCCCGAGCTTCCGTGTGCATCCTGCACTTACCTGCATCCAAAACAGGCCACATGTGGACTCCTGGGAGGGGCGGAGCGGGGTGGGCAGGGCAGGGCAGGGCCAGCCAGCAATGGGATTCAGGATTCTCCGAACTGCACAGAATCTTAGTTAGAGGATCTCCCTAATCCCTGCAAACCCCCAGCAGCCCACCCCCGGTTGTACCCCTTTCATCAGTGGAATAAACAGCCTTGAGAAATTTATATTTATTTATTTATTTATTTTATATGCTACCCATATTGATTTTTGAGATGACTCTGGCCTTTACTTCTCTCCTCCCATTCTCCCTCTCCCTCCCCTGCCCTCCCTCCACCTCCTCCATGTTATAAAATTAGGAATGATGTTATGAAACTGACCTGGTATATGGGAAAGACCTTGGGAGATGCGGCAAAGGGAAGCTGCCTATGGAATGGACAGATAAGAGATAGCATAGCCTGCAGCAGGATAGTGGACGCAGCAACAGGCTCAGGAGGGACCATCCCTAGTTTCTCAGGCTGAAAAGAAGACATAGAGAAAATTGTACTTTCTGACTTGCAAGATTCTGTCAATGTAGCTTTATAATGAAGTTTATCTGGTCAGGACAGAAACTGACAAGAAACTTTGTCCTTGGGCCTGCAGATGAAAGTAAAAACTATGGAACTCTGCTGTTTTAGTTGTTGCAGCATCTGATCACCCATGCTATAAAAAAGATATTGGAAAGATGAAGAAACACCTCAAGATCAAGAGGTAATTAAGAAGATATTAGACTGTGCAGAAATGGACAGACTTACATTGAAAATCAAACAGAAAGAAGACACAGAATATTATCAAACTTGGAACTTATTTTACCAGCGGTTGGAAAAAAGGGGTGAAGAGTAAGAATGGCATTTGTATCATTAAGCAAATTAAATACTCAGACAACACAATATTTATTAAGTATTAAAGAATGTAATTAATAGAAAATTAATAAAAAAAATTTAAATAAAAGAAGAGGGGGTTTGCGTTCAAAAGGGAAAATGGATCTGTAGGTGCAAATATCTGGGAAAGCAAAAGAAAAGAATGAAAGAATTGGGAATGTCTAGTCTAGTGAAAAGAAGGACTGGGTTGACGTGATCGCAGTCTTCCAATATTTGAGGGGCTGCCACAAAGAAGAAGGGGTTAACCTATTTTAAAAAGCACCAGAAGGCAGGACAAGAAGCAATGGATGGAATCAAATCAAGGAGAGTAACAACCTAGAACTAAGGAGAAATTTCCTGACAGTGAGAATAATTAGCCAGTGGAACAGCTTGCCTTCAGAAGTTGTGGGTGCTCCATCACTGGAGATTTTTAAGAAGAGTTTGGACATCCATGGTATATAGAGTCTCCTGCAGGAGTGAAATCCAGCCAGTTCTGACAGGTTCTGGAGAATCGGTAGCGGAAATTTTGAGTAGTTCGGAGAACCAGCAAATACCAACTCTGGCTGGTCCCAGAGTGGGATGGGAATGGAGATTTTGCAATATCCTTCCCCCAGGAGTGGGGAGGGAATGAGGATTTTGCAGTATCCTTCCCCTGCCATGCCCACCAAGCCACACCCACCAAGCTACACTGCGCCCACCAAGCCACGCCCACAGAACCGATAGTAAAAATATTTGAATTTCACCACTGGTCTCTTGCTTGTGCAGTGGGTTGGGCTAGAAGACCTCCAGGTCCCGTCTGTCATGGAGGTTAAATCAATGTACCGTAAAACCTTATCTCTATAACAATCTACTATAACAAATGAGACTTACTAGCAGTTCACAATAAACTGTTTTTATTCACATAATAATAAAAACAATATCTATTCAAATACTAAATAGTATGTCATTTCTTTTCTTAAATATCCTGTCAGATATATATATGTAATTACTCTATATGATTATAGTTCTGGCTATTCTTCCTCAGAAGAAGGAGTCTTTTAATACATCAGATCTACCTCTGATCCCTAATCTCTAAGGAGCCTGAGTGGCGTAGGAGGCTAATGCCTCCTACTAAGGCAGCATTTAACATCCAGCTGCCTGCAAATACTGTGAGTTCAAGGTCGACTCAGCCTTCCATCCTTTCTAAGGTGGGTAAAATGAGGACCCGGTTTGTGGGGGCAATAAGCTGACTTTGTATAAAATATACAAAAGTATGAAGGCTATTGCTTAATGCATTGTAAGCCGCCCTGAGTCTCCGGAGAAGGGCGGCATATAAAAATAATAATAAAATAAATATAAATATATTTATTTATATATAAATATAAAAAAATAAAAAAATAAAATAAATATAAAAAAATAATAAAATAAAATAAAATAATCAGAAATCTTACTAATGACTAACTGTCTTCAGAACTGCATTCAACTGCATACTGACTGCAGAACTGTCCTTTAGAACTGCCCTCTAATTGACAACTAACTGACTACTAACTGATAACTAACTTTCTATCAGGAATCTCCTTTTATACTGTCCCAGTGACAGTTAGGGGGAGGGAACATAAAAGCCCTGGAGATTCAAACCCATCAGCTGCCTTCTGATTGGCTCACCCACTTGTCCATTCCAAAAGCCATTAATAGGCACAGCAATTGAGAAATAACTTTTCTCTAACACCGTCCAACTCTGTTATTCTGTTCTGAAAGGCATCGGGATTAGTGAAAAGAGAATTGTCCCTAAAAAGAAGGAAAAAAGGTGGGGGGGGGACTAGAAAAAGCTTTGTGGCATTATAAAGAAGAGGTGGGAAAACTAGGAGGGAGCCAATGAGCCTGGCCTTCCCTGAATGGATGGGAAGGGCAGGAAACGGAATAACAATCGATCAGCTCAAGCGATAGCTCTAATCGGGATGGAGCGCAGCCCAATGCCATCGCCAGACCATTCCAAATCCATACTGGGATTTTTGAAGTTGATTTTAAAGAGCAAGCAGGGGAGTACAGGAGACAAGCAGTTTAGGCAGCAGTGCAAAACTGCCCTCCGTTCCAAGACTTCAGAAAATTCATGTCTGCCTTTTATTTACCCTCTGGCCGTGGTTCACTCCGTCTTGTTTGCTTTGATATATTTTTATTAACAAGGATTAGGTTACTTGGCATTATGCGCTCAGCTTAAACTTGTAAGAGGACCCAAACAGGTTGGTTTCCTTTTCGAATTGTATTTACACATAGGGAACATTTCACCCTCCGTGGTCCTTTCCTTGCCGTTCCTTCCCCACTAAAGACAATTATTAAATTAATCCCCAATTTATATAGATTTGGAAATTCCTACCCAGAACGGCATTTATGCTCATGTCGTTTAATTAAAGCCCACTTTGAAGAGGGAAGGTGAAGAAATGCAACAACAGTTGATGGCCGTTTAAATCCTTTCAAGAATTTGCCAATGAATCACTACCCTGTTTCCCCCAAAATAAGACCTCCCCTGATAATAAGCCCAATTGGGCTTTTGAGCGCATGGCAATAAGGCCAAGCACTTATTTCAGGGTTCAAAGAAATATAAGACAGGGTCTTATTTTCGGGGAAACACGGTAGCTATTTTGAGGGTTAGGTTACACAAAGGTGGTCTTTGCTGTGCATTGGCTTTGTGAGAGATACGTAAAGGGGTTTTTGTTATTGTTATTGTGGAAAATTCATTGTTTGATTGAAACAAAAGACCGTAATTTTCACATTTTCCAGTACAGTGACTTGACTCCTCCTCTTGTCTCTGAATCAGCATGGACCTCATGGACCTTTCATTAAGTGAAAGAATACCTTGGAATATTAGTTAGAATACCTCAGACAACAAATACCAGGCACTATAATTGAAGGTCTTGAGAACAAGTGTTTAATTTCTCAAAGGAGAGTTATCACAGAACTGTAAACATAGAAACATACGCAGTGTCCTCTTAATTTCCTGGACAACAGGAAAATTCCTGCATAAGAGCCTTATCATTGTTGATTATGATACCGTAATATTGTACTGTTATTATCCAACATTAAAGGTAAAGGTTCCCCTCGCACATATGTGCTAGTTGTTCCCGACTCTAGGGGATGGTGCTCATCTCCGTTTCAAAGTCAAAGAGCCAGTGCTGTCCGAAGACGTCTCCATGGCCATGTAGCTGGCATGACTGAACGACAAAGGCGCACGGAACGCTGCTACCTTCCCACCAAAGGTGGTCCCTATTTTTCTATTTGCATTTTTTACATGCTTTCAAACTGATAGGTTGGCAGAAGCTGGGACAAGTAACCCCATTATGCGGCACTAGGGATTCGAACCGCTCATCTGCCAACCTTTCGATCGACAAGCTCAGCATCTTAGCCACTGAGCCACCGCATTCCAACATTACAGCATCATTTTTCTACTTCTCATTACAGGGAATCACAGATGCTCAAGCGGGGACTGGTTGACACAGGTTCATCTCTATTCTTGTTACACTTGACCAGGGACAGTGTAAAAATAAAGGTTTCCCTGTCCAGTTCTGTCCGAGTCTACGGCATGGTGCTCATCTCCGTTATTGGTCAGGGAGCCAGCATTGTCCAAAGACATTTTCCGTGGTCATGTGTCAAGATGCTTACAATCCAAAGACACATGGAATGCTATTACCTTTCCAACAAAGCGGTACCTTTGGACTCTAGCGAATCCTGGACTCTAGGCAGTGATGAAATTCATTTTTTTTTATTACCAGTTCTGTGGGTGTGGCTTGGTGGGCATGTTGTGGTTTGGTGGGCGTGGTGTGGTGTGGTTTGGTGGGCGTGGCTTGGCTTAGCTTAGCTTGGCTTGGCTTGGTGGGCATGGCAGGGAAAGGATACTGCAAAATCTCCATTCCCTCCCCAGTCCTGGGAGAAGGATACTGCAAAATCTCCATTCCCACCCCACTCTCGGGCCAGCCAGAGGTGGTATTTGCTGGTTCTCCGAACTATTCAAAATTTCCGCTACCGGTTCTCCAGAACCTGTCAGAACCTGCTGAATTTCACCCCGACTCTAGGCTATTCAAGGCTATTTAAGGGATAACCCTTGTCAGAAGCCACCTGGGTAAAGAGTAGGGACATGAAGGCAGATAGATTAGTTAACAAATGCCATGAGGAACATCCTCAAAAACCTAAGGAAGATTCTAAGGGGGCGGGGAGGTTAGCCAACCCACTGAGTTTTCACCCTGCACCCTCTCTCTTGTTTTCCAGATGGTCCTCACTTTGTAAAGGGGAGCCGCTTGTCAACCTGCAGAACAACTTCAGCTGAAGCCATTCTTTCTCATGCTTTCGAACTGCTAGGTGGGCAGGAGCTGGAGCTAGAACAGGAGCTCACCCCATTGCATGGTGCTCGGGTCTCAAACCAGTCTGTCAGCTTTCCAGCTGACATGCTCAGCATCTTTAACTGCTGAGCCCTCATGCCCCCCTACAGACCATGTAAGTTATGATAATTCCTTCTTTTGAGCTTTGACTCTTTTTCCTGCTAGCCCACCCACCTCTGCGCACATCACCATCCCTGCCACGCTTAAAGGAAAAAAGAGAATTTTTGAATGCAGCCTTACCTGCTCAGCCTGCCCCATTTTTGTTGATGTTACCAAGGAGGAAGCAACGTGTATGACAGAAGCCTGGCCAAGTAGATCCTTTACATAGCTGTGAATACAAGCTGACAAGTAAATCAAGCAGAAGGGGACCATAATTGCAGTGAATGCGTTCCTTTATTTGTTAATTCATATATACAATATTATAACAACTGAATATTGTGTAAAAGGCTGCAGGAAGAGACACGGCCTGTCAGTTCTGGCAGAGCTCAAGAGACAGAGCTCAAGAGACTGAGTATTACTACTGCTTTACAAAACGTTAATAAGACCTGAAATACTGCATCCAGTTTTGGTCACCACATTACAAAAAATGTTGAGACTTTGGAACAAGTGCAGAGAAGAGCAACTAGGATGATTAAAGAAGACTAAAACATATGAAGAACAGTTGCAGAAATGGGGTATGGCTAGTCTAGACAAATAGGACGCGGTGGCTCAGTGGCTAAGACACTGAGCTTGTTGATCGAAAGTTCAGCGGTTCGAATCCCTTGTGCAGCTGGGACAAGTAATGGGGTGGGCTCCCGTTACTTGTCCCAGCTTCTGCCAACCTAGCAGTTCGAAAGCACCTAAAAAATGCACGTAGAAAAATAGGGACCATCTTTGGTGGGAAGGTAACAGCGTTCCGTGCGCCTTTGGTGTTTAGTCATGCCGGCCACATGACCACGGAGACATCTTCGGACAGCGCTGGCTCTTCAGCTTTGAAACAGAGATGAGCACCGCCCCCTAGATTTGGGAACGAGTAGCACATACGTGTGAGGGGAACTTTACCTTTAGTCTAGACAAAAGAAGGACTGCAGGGACATGATAGCAGTATTCCAGTGTTTGAGAGGCTGCCATAAAGAAAAGGGGGTCAACTTATTTTCCAAAGCACCAAAAGGCAGGACAAAAAACAATGGATGGAAACTAATCAAGGTGAGAAAAAACCTGGAATTAAGGAGAAACTTCCTAACAGTGAGGACAATTAACCAGTGGAACAGCTTGCCTTCAGAGGTTATGGGTGCTCCATCACTGGAGGTTTTTAAAAAGAGACTGCACAGCCACTTGTCTGAAATGGTATAGACAAGTGGCTTAAGCAGGGGTTTGGACTAGAAGACCTCAAAGTTCCTTCCAGCTCTATTCTGAATTTGGCTCTCTTGGTCTGCTTACTGTAGAATTGAAGCAATGTGTCACAAAAGCAACTTTGGTCAAAGATACTGAGAATGCTCCTTTGGGAAAAGGGGCACCCCATTTTGAGTCCAGCTCTATCTATCTGAGATCCTAGTTCCATCCATGCAATTCTTGATCGTGCTTGGGTCTTGTCCTTCTTTGAGCAAGAATATTTTGGATTTAATGAGCTTAAATGGACTCCAGAGGATGGTAGAGGACAGGAAGGCCTGGAGGAACATTGTCCATGGAGTCACAATGGGTCGGACATGACTTTGCAACTAACAACAACAATTTTGGGTTTAAGTAAGACAAGCCTCGACGTTCATTCAGAACTTTCAATGGAGGTAAACTGGAGCAGCAAGGAAATTCACCAGTGAATTGATTCTAGCCTTGGTAACAAATTGCCTTCTGAGAAAAGCTCAGGATTCTAGTTTTAAGATGTGAAACTTGAAAAGATTCACAGCCTAACTAATGATGTGGATATCACTTTTAATATGCTTTGACTTATTTCCTGAGCATTAAGGTTGGGAGGTAACTTTCTTAAAGAAAGTTTCTTTTGGGGCCTCTGGGTACCTGCTAATCAACAGTATAAATATCCCCAGATAAAAGATACAGCGAGGTGGGTCTGAAAATAAGTCAGATTGAGCCTTGGGCTCTATTGAAAATAATTTCATTTAAAAAAACAACAACCTGCCAATGTAGCCCCAAAAGTGCTTTTTCAAGAGGCAACTGGACTTTCTTGTTTTTCTTGGAAGACATTTCACTTCTCATCCAAGAAGCTTCTTCAGCTCTGACTGGATGGTGGGGAATGGCAGGATTTATATTCCTTGCAGACGGCTGGTCATTTGCATCCTTTTAGAGAGTCGTTGAGACCACGTTGGAAGTTTATCTGTGTCCTTAGGGTCACACTGAGTAGTGCAATTGGATATGGAATCTACTTGGAACTGCTGGAAGGATGAGAAGCAAAATGTCTTCAAAGGAAAACCAGAATGTCCAGTTGCCTCTTGAAAAAGCACCTCTGGGACAACAGTGATCTGGAGGGATGACTGAGAATCTCCATAGACCTTTCATTGTGTAGCCCTATGGAAAAGGGGGCGGAGCTGAGTTATAAGGCAAGAGAACTACGGGATTGGGGCATGCAGAAGATCTGGTTGTTGCCCCAATGTGGTGGTTGGAATTAATAATCTAGATAAAAGACACTAGAGAAGATACTATATGGAATATAAATATAAAGTCACTCGGGTGGTTTTTTATATACGAAAATATTTATTATTGATGGGGGCAGATGGTAATGGAAGATACTGAATATACTGTTGGAAGCTGAACCTGATGTTACCCTAACATGGACGATGGAATTAATAATCCAGTTGAAAGACATTACAGAAGATACTATATGGATTACAAATTTAAAGTCATTTGAGGATTTTATTTATATATGGAAATATTTTTTAGTCGTGTGGTGTGGGTAGAAGAACAAAGATATTAAAAATATTATGTATGGTAGACCTGTAGGAAAATGGGTGGAGATAGGTTATGTTACTGATTGTTTAATTTAGGAAAAGGGATGTTATGTCTAGATATAAATATACGTAAAAGATTTGAATTAAGAGATATATGTATGGGGGTGGAGGAAATGGGTAGATTATGAGTTGAATAAATACCAAATTAGGATTTATTATATAGTTTTATAGCTGAAGGTTGCTTTGAAATGTATAGTATAGGGGGGATATAATAACAATGTTAGAAAGAAATGGTTAGCATGTGGGGGGTGGTGTAAAAGGATGGTAAAGTATTATATAATTTGATATCAATTTGGATTTTATTTTGAAGAAGCCATGGGGGGAGGGGAGGGGGAGGGGGGGTTAGAGAGGAGGAGGGAAAAAAGGGGGAAAAATCTGTATTTGAAAAACTTTTTCAATAAAAAAAAGAAAAGGGGGAGGAGCAGCTATTCAAAATGTTGTTGACTCCTCCTGTTCTAAGCCCCTCCTTCTTCCTTCCCAGTCACATGACTCAGAAGCAGAGGTGGTATTCAGCAGGTTCTGACCAGTTCTGGAGAACCGGTAGCGGAAATTTTGAGTAGTTCGGAGAACCGGTAAATACCACCTCTGACTGGCCCCGCCCCCATCTATTCTCTGCCTCCCAAGTCCCAGCTGATCAGGAGGAAATGGGGATTTTGCAGTAACCTTCCCCTACCATGTCCACCAAGCCACACCCACCAAGCCATGCCATACCTACCAAGCCACGCCCACAGAACCTGTAGTAAAAATTTTTGAATCCCACCACTGCTCAGAACAGAGCTCTCATTAAGAAGTCAGAAAATGAATTTCACAGCCATGCTCTGTGTGCATCCCCTATCTTGATTTCTTTTTTTATTTTGTTATTGTTTTTGGGTTAATTTTAACATCACGGCATCATCTTCAATTCCAGCAATTGATGGCAGACTGTATCCATTGAAATTCAAATCCTTGGAATGGGAGTTGGGAAAGGATGAATGGTCTCGGGCTGATTAATTATTCTCTCTCTTTTTAAAGGTTCTTGCAACAATATTGCCCCTCGTTCCTCGAAGCTCAAGCTAATACAGCGGTGAGATTCAACGAAATTAACATATGGTTGATATCTCATTTTTTAACTTCACAGCAATTCAGTGGAGCGATGTGGGCTAAACAAAATGGCAGCAAAAAAAGCTGATGAAGACTCAAGACTTACCTTAAGGTAAAATGGCTGCCTATAATTTTTAAAAACAAACCAATAAAAATAAGAGTAGAGATCTACTACCTCTTGGCTTTTGGGCAGTGGTGAAATCCAAATTTTTACTCCCGGTTCTGTGGGCGTGGCTTGGTGGGCATGGCAGGGGAAGGATACTACAAAAGCCCCATTCCCTACCCATTCCTGAGGGAAGGATATTGCAAACTCTCCATTCCCACCCCGCTCTGGGGCCAGCCAGAGGTGGTATTTGCCGGTTCTCTGAACTACTCAAAATTTCCGCTATCGGTTCTCCAGAACCTGTCAGAACCTGCTGGATTTCACCCCTGCTTTTGGGGCTAATTTTCACCAAGCTGATCCAACAAGAATATTTTTGTGACGATCTCCGTTTTGGATCGTTTGCACCAACAGAAATAAAGGTAAGTTTTGTCCAGCTACTTCAGGCCACAGGCATGCTTACCAAAAGGAGAGAAATGGTTGCAATCACACAGCACAACCCACTTCCTTAATTAGCCCATTTTCTGGATACAATAGTCCTCAATTCAACAATCATTTATCTAGTGCAGTGCTTCTCAACCTTGGTAGCTTGAAGATGGGTGGACTTCTGGGAGTTGAAGTCCACCCATTTTCAAGCTTCCAAGGTTGAGAAACACTGATCTAGTGACAGTTCAAAGTCACAATGGCATTGAAATAAAGCGACTTACAACATGTACAGGAAGTCCTTGACTTACGATAAAATTTTGAGCCCCAAATTTCTGTGGCTAAGTGAGACGTTGGTTAAGCGAGTTTTGCCTCATTTTTCAACCTTTCTTGCCACAGTCGTTAAGTGAGTGACAGCAGCTGTGAAGTTAGTAACACGGTTGTTAAGTGAATCTGACCTCCCCATTGACTTGGCTTGTCAGAAGGTCGTGAAAGTGGATCACGTGACCCCGCCCCCCAGGACACAGCAACCGTCATAAATATGAACCAGTTGCCAAGCATCCAAATTTTGATCACGTGACCATGGGGATGCTGGAATGGTCGTAAGTGTCAGGGTTCCAAGTAACACCCCCAACGAAAGAAGACTCCGAGGCTTGAAGCTCCTCAAAGTTCCATTTTATTAGAGATGTCATATTGGCACATCTAGGAAAACCCAAATCTGAAAGTTTATAGGTTTTTCCCACCCAAAGGAAAGTCCAAGTCCCTGTCCAGCACCCACAAGTCCATCACATGGTCCAATCAAAGCACTGTCCCAGCTGGAGATGCCTCCCATTCACACTCCTCCAGGTGCAGGGCAAGATGTCCTTGACTCCCTGAGAAAGGAATGTTATTATGACTACATATCACCCATGCGCCATACAATCCCCCCTCTCACTTTCCCACAGTAGTAAATGTGGCAGGCTTGAAGGCCTAATGCAAAAGATGGCTTCCAGGCCTGACAGTAAGTGTGAAAAATGGTCATAAGTCGCTTTTTTCAGGGCCGTTCTAACTTTGAACAGTCACTAAACGAACTGTTGTATGTCAAGGAACACCTGCATTTGCACTGTCACATCATCCTCACGGGCCTTCCCAGCAAGCAAAATCAATGGGGGAAGCTGGATTTGTTTAATGACTGCATGAGTCACTTCACAACTTCAGCAATTTGCTTAACAAAATAAAATTGGATGTGACTCACTTAACAACGGTTAAATTCTGGTCCCAACTCCGGTCGTAAATTGAGCACTACCTGTGCTACAAAAGAGATTGGAGCTACTGTACAAATTAATTGAAAGGATTAGGTTCTCATGGCAAACCAAGGTTTAAAACTAAACTTAGCATAATGTGTGCACGTAATCATGGGGTTTTTAATTGTCCTGACTATCTGTACTACACGAACCCAGTGTTAATTAGCACATCACTCTCTAATAATAACTCTGCAGACAGTTTATGCTGGTATTTTGTTAACAGACAGACATGTCTGCAGGGAGTGGTCAAAATGGCAGCTGTGTTGATACACTGAAAACTCCACCCATGTTTTATGTGCTAACTGGTACTGTAGTCTTTCTTCAAGGTCTCCTTTAGAAGATTCAAAAAATAACACGAGTTGGAAGGAACCTTGGAGGTCTTCTAGTCCAACCCCCTGCTCAGGCAGGAAACCCCATACCAGTATTGCTAACCTTTTTGCCATCATGTGCCAAAAGCAGGGGGAGCACGGGGGGGGGGGTCATGTGCACAAGTGCCCACACCCATAATTCTATGCGCCCCGCTCCCTGCGCATGCTCGCAGAGATCCCCCTGCTTTTGGTACGTGATGGCACGGTGGGCTCGGTAGGCCTGTTTTTCACCCTTCCCAGGCTCCAGAGCCTTTCTAAGAGCCTGGGGAGGGTGAAAATGGCCTTCCCCACCCCCCTGAAGGCCAGAAAAGGCCTGTTTGCCAACTTCCGGGAAACGGACCATTTCCAGAGGGCCTCCGGGGGTGTGGGGAAGGCCATTTTCACCCTCCCCGGGCTCCTAGAAAGGCTCTGGAGCCTGGGGAGAAAGAAAAATGGGCCTTCCCCACACTCAGGCCCTCCGGGATCACCCAGGTTACTTGTCAGATCAGGAGCTAACTGTCAGATGTTCTAGGTGTTGTGGTCTGCCAGGAACTGGCAGCAGATTTGGCTAGTGAGGAGGTTGGGGAGGAACATGGGCCAGTCCTGGAGTCTGGGGAAGGCTCTGACGAGCGCTCTGCGTCGGAAGCAGAGAGGGGGCTAGGGCCGTCTGACAGTTGTCAGCTGCCTTCGAAGTCGGACATCAGTGGGGCAGAAGAACAGCTGGATCCTGTTCCCAGTGTACACATGCGCAGAGCTGCCAGGAGAAGGGAACAGCTAAGGAACAAGGGTCGACTCAGGAGTAAAGCCACAGGTGGACGGTGAATGGCCCCTCCCATAGGGAATAAAGAGGAGCGAAGGGGAGAGGAGTCTGCAGGAGATAATTAGTTCATTTGCAATGTTCCTGCATTCTTGCCAAGTATTGTCTGTTACAGTGTGGAGTCTGAAAGATATCAGCCTGGCCACTCTCCAAGCCTGATAAAGGTCGGTAATTGTGAACTATCTTGAAAGACTGTGGGAGAGGAAAGACTTTGCTGGGAGAGGAATTCATTGTAAATTAAATAAAAGTGGTTTATCGGGACGAGGACTCAGCTTCGTGCTGCTGGAAAAGCCTAGGTCAGAACACTAGACTCACTTTGAGTTTCTTGAGTGTTGAATACCGAACAATTTACACCTTGCAGTTTGCTTGGTTCTCCTCCTAACCTCCCAACCTCCTTCACCAGGATGTTTTCCTTCAGACGCTGACCAAGCAAAAGTAAACTCAATAATTATATTGCACTGCCAGCAAGGAGTCAATATTATTCCCCCCGCTCTTCCTTGCCGGAGGGTTACAACACATTTACACCATAGGGAAGGCTTTTCTCTTTGCACCTCCAAACTGTAATGCAAACTCTTCTTTTATTCATAACTGCTCGGTCTCCAGCTGAGATAGGCACTTTCCTATTACCCCAGATGACAGATTTCTGTGTTCTTTCCAAGCACAGGGGGTTTAATAAACATATCTGGCAATCTCTCGGTAGCTGGAGGGCTTGGGATGACACCGTGTGTGCAAACAACGTGCTCTGACTGCTAGGGAAACAAGTTTATTCAATTAATAGATTACAGTCAAGATTTTTGTTATCCTACAAGGAAAGATGGCAGAAGAACGTAGAGAATTAGGGTAGGTCAAGAGATTAGTGGCAGGCAGTGTTGGGAGCCAAGTGAGGGAAGAACAGAGGCATCCTTCATTGAAGGAGGGTTATTTGTAAGGAAAGATCAGGGATGGGCTTCAAAAATTTAGCAAGGGGTTCTCTACCTGGTTGCTGGGTGGGCGTGGCCATGGTGGGTGTGGCCTAGACGGCCTCCTGCACCATGGCAGGGGGAGAGGGTGGTTTTGCCCTCCCTGGGCTCTGGAGGCTTTCCTTGAGTCTCCAGGAGGGCGAAAACAGCCTCCCCAGGCTCCGGAGGCCCTCTGGAGGCCAGAAACAAGCCCATTTCCAGCCTTCCCGAACTTCCGGTAGGCCTGTTTTTCGCCCTCCCCAAGTCTCCATGCATGTCCTGCACTTACCTGCATCCAAAACAGGCCGTGTGGGGACTGCTGGGAGGGGAAGGGTGGGGTGGGATGGGCCAGCCAGGGGTGGGATTTGGGGGTTCTCCGAACTGCACAGAATCTTAGCTAGAGGTTCTCCCAAACCCCTGCGAACCTCAGCAGCCCACCCCTGCATTAGATCAAAAGTTAATGAAATTCAAGAATCTGACGTGTTGTTTGTAGATCCATTTTGGAACATGTCAAATATGGCAAATATGTTAAGTTCCCTACTGTATATACCTAGAACAGAAGGAGATAGTAAAACAGACTACAACAGACACAGGGGTCGCGCGGGGGGGGGGCACGTGTGTGGGGGGCCCCAAACCCAAATTTAATGGACCCCCCCCCCTTGCCACCAGGCCCCCCCCCGTTCTCCCCCCACTTTTGGCACACGATGGCAAAAAGGTTACTATTGGGCCCAGTAGGCCTGTTTTTTGCCCTCCCCAGGCTCCAGAGGCTTTCGCCTGGGGAGGGCAAAAACAGCCTTCCCCACCTCCCCGGAGGCCCTCTGGAGGCCAGAAATGGCTTGTTTCCCAACTTCCAGTGGGCCCGGAAAGCCTGAAAATCAGCTAGCCAGTGCGCATATGCGCGCTGGTGATGAGCTAGGGCAACACTTGTGTGCCCACAGGTATGGCTCCATTTGTTGATAATTATCCATTATGCAAAAATTACTTGATCAGATCAGTTTGGTTGCTACTATATATCAGGGGTGTCCAACCTCAGCAATGTTAGGATTTGTGGTGTTCAACTCCCAGAATTCCTTAGTCAGCCATGCTAGCTGGTAAATTCTATGAGTTGTCCACAAATCTTAAAGTTGCCAAGGTTGGACACCCCTGCTCAGAGGTGGGTTTCATCAGGTTCTGACCAGTTCTAGAGAACTGGTAGCGGAAATTTTGAGTAGTTTGGAGAACCGGTAGTATTCTGACTGGCCCCACCCCCATCTATTCTCTGCCTCCCAAGTCCCAGCTGATCAGGAGGAAATGGGGATTTTGCAGTAACCTTCCCCTGGAGTGGGGAGGGAATGGAGATTTTACAGTATCCTTCCCCTGGAGTGGATTGGGAATGGAGATTTTACAGTATCCTTCCCCTGCCACGCCCACCAAGCCACACCCACCAAGCCATGCCACGCCCACCAAGCCACACCCACAGAACCAGTAGTAAAAAAAATTGAAACCCACCACTGTCCCTGCAATGTATATAACTTCCTACACTCAGAATCGAGATAGCAAGTTATTTTTCACTCATGATACTGCAGAAGTATGGATCTTATATGTCATTTTATTTTGTACTTCACTTTGTTTCATTATATTTCTATGCCACCCACTCTCCGAGGACTCTGGGCAGCTTACACCAAAGACAGTATACTAAATATCTAGAGCTGTCTAGCATTTTTAGTTCTTGCATTAGTTTCAGGATAGACAGATCCCTGGAACAAGGACATTTATTTCAAAGTTTTGGAATTTGAATTGTATAAATATACTTTCAGTCCTCTTCCATCCATGTTTAATTATGGTAACTGACTTAGTCATAAGGAGGCAGTTAACAAGCGGTGCCAAGAAAGTTATTCTATTAAAAGGTGCCTTCAAAAGATCACGATAATATGCATAGAGCCAAAGGTGAGCCCAAGCAATTTGCAAAACTCAGTTGATAGAAAAAGGCTGTTGCAACCCAATTTTGGCTGTCAAGGAAACCTGCAGAAATGTTTCTGTTCAATCATCATCATCAAATCATGATCTGTTTGATGAAATATTCCTATTTACACTCCTAGGTACACATTAGAACCAACCAACCACAAAGCTCTCCTGAAATATCAAGGAAACTGGCTAGGGAGGAATCTGGAAAGCTGAATGACAAAGAAATTAAAGAAGGATAAGGAGATTGAAGAAAAGTTAAATCAATTCTTGTCATTGATATTCCCTCCCTAAGCTGCAGACAAGAAACAAACGCTTAAATTTTGATTTTCCGAATGAAAATCGAAAGACATCGCAATGACAAGAGAGGAAGTCAATATTATATTCACAAGTAGGAAGGAAACCAGGGAAACTTTCAAAATCTTTAAACAGTTGAAATAGGAAACTGTCAATATTCTAACAAAAATATGCAAAATATCCTAAATACTGATGTCTCTATAAAGAAGCCAGAATGCTTTGAATCTGGTTAGCTTAGCATCAATTATAAGGCAAATTAGTCAAAAGGATTATCAGAGATTTTTTAAAAAAACAAGGTCTAAAGAACAAATCTTGTCAAGTGGCACATCCTTCTGCAAAATCAAATCTCATTTCAGTAACCTTAAATTGGTGTTTTGCTTTGTTTTGTTTTTTTTGAGAAAAGAAGTAATCATAAGGAGAGGAATAAGAGACAAGGGAAGTTTGCTATGGCTTTCGTCAAAAGTTCTACTTGCAAAACTACTGAGCTAACTCAGCAGTTACGAAAGAAAAAGACATGTACGGATAATCTGGAACAAAACCTATGAATAACGGAATTTTGGATGCAAAAGTGGCATTTTAAGGGACCTCTGTTTGGTCAAAACTTACTAATAGATGAATGAAAATAATACATTACTGGTTGTCCTCGACCTACAACAATTCATTTTGTGACGGTTTAAAGTTACAAGAGCACTGAAAAAAGTGACTTATGTCCAGGGGTGGGCTTCAAAAATTTCAGCAACGGGTTCTCTGCCCAGTTGCTGGGTGGATGTGGCCATGGTGGGTGTAGCCTAGTTGGCCTCCTGCACCATGGCGGGGATGGGCGTTTTCACTTTCCCCAGGCTCTGGAGGCTTTCCTCGAGCCTCTGGGAGGCTGAAAACTGCCTCTCCCGGGCTCTGGAGGCCCTCTGGAGTTTCCGGGAGACCCATTTTTCCCCCTCTCCGAGCTCTATGTGGGTCCTGCACTTACTTCCCATCCAAAACGGGCCGCGTGGAGGCTCCTGGCAGGCGCAGGGCGGGTTGGGAGGGGCAGGGCAGGTGGAATTTGGAGGTTCTCCAAACCCGCCATAACGTTAGCTATGGGTTCTCCTGAACCCAGGCGAACCCATAGCAGCCCACCCCTGCTTATGTCTGTTTTTCACACTTATGGCCATGGCATCCTCCCTGGTCAGATGATCAAAATTTGGATGCTTGGCAATTGCTTCATATTTATGATGGGTGCAGTATCCCGGGGTCATGTGATCCCCTTTTACAACCTTCTGACAAGCAAAGTGAATGGGGAAGCCCGATTCACTTAACAACCACGTTACTAATTTAACAACTGCAGTGATTCACTTAACAACTGTGGCAAGGAAGGTTGTAAAATAGGGCAAAATTCACTTAACCGCTGTTTCCTTTAGCAGCAGAAATTTTGAGCTGAATTGTAGTCATACGTTGAGGACTATCTGTATAGTTCTATGTAGCCAAATGTGAAAATAAAGTACATCGTGGTTAACAAAAAATTAACACACACACAAAAAAAACCAGGCAATAGATTTGGGTTAGCAAAGACTACCACTACGGTTATGATAGATTTGGGGTACAGTGAAAAAAAACATGGCAGATATGATGGTGCCATTCAGCATCAACTAATTCCTGACAGTTAAAACAATTAATCAGTGGAACAACTTGCCTGCAGAAATTGTGAATGCTCCAACACTGGAAGTTTTAAACAAGATATTGGATAACCATTTGTCTGAAGTGGTGTAGGGTTTCCTGCCTAAGCAGGGGGTTGGACTAGAAGACTTATAAGGTCCTTTCCAACTCTGTTATTCTATTCTATTCTATTCTATTCTATTCTATTCTATTCTATTCTATTCTGTTCTGTTCTGTTCTGTTCTGTTCTATTCTATTCTATTCTATTCTATTCTATTCTAATTTGTATATTCATTAAAGGTAAATTAATGAAAACAAGAACAGAAAATTCACTTTTGTTCCTTTGCTATGGAGATTCTCAGTCATCCAGATCATGGTTTTTCTTTGAAGACATTTCACTTCTCATCCAAGAAGGATGAGAGCTGAAGAAGCTTCTTGGATGAGAAGCGAAATATCTTCAAAGAAGAAAAACAGAAAATCCAGTTGCCTCTTGAAAAAGCACTTTTGGGACTTTTGTTCCTTGCAAAGAACTAAAAGTAAAACAGCCCCTATTCGTGTATAAACCTACAGTGCACCCAGAATTTAGTAATCTGTTCAATACACCCAAAAAGATAACACAAATATTAAAAAATCAGGCGAGGGATACTAAAATGGTGAAGGAGCTGTGATAAAACTTTCTAACATTTTGGATTTTTAACTTTAGAGAAAGGAAAGATGGAAAAGCATGAACTTGTATGCGATGTGGAGAAAATGGACAAGGAGAAGGATGAACTCATTCGTAAAATAATTAAACATGCTGAATAACTACTTCAGGGGTCCTCAAACTTTTTAAACAGGGGGCCTATTCACAGTCCCTCAGACTGTGGGTGGATGTGGCTAGGTGGTCATGTGACTGGGTGGGCATGGCTAGGTGGTCATGTGACTGGGTGGGCATGGCCAAATTAACTCCATTTTTTCCCTTTCTCCTTCCTAAGCTCCTGTTTAAATTGTTTTCAAAGACTTTTAATTTAAAGCAGTACTTTGCAAGCCCAGAACTGCTTTTCAAGGCTGCACCGGCGAGATCACCCCTCAGCTGGCCCTCAGCTGGCCTTCCAGCTGGCTCACTGGAAGATAAGGGCCACAGCAACGGGTGGGACTTAATCACACCACTCCGTGGCCGGATACTATGCATTGGCAGGCCGTATCTGGCCCATGGGCTGTAGTTTGAGGATGCCCGCACTATACACATTCTCCACCCTAATTAAAATACAACCAGTTGGTTACTAAATGATGGTTGCATAAGGACAGACCAAAATATTGATTCCATGGGTTGGTCTGTCTGTCTGTCTGTCTGTCTGTCTGTCTGTCTGTCTGTCTGTCCTTCCGTCCATCCATCCATCCATCCATCCATCCATCCATCCATCCATCCATCCATCTATCTATCTATCTATCTATCTATCTATCTATCATCTATCTATTTTATTTATTTAAAGATTCTTCCTTTCTTGGAGATTTATAAACACTGCCGTGAATTAGCAGCAATATTATGGACCAAGATCAAAGCTGTGGTTTAATTTACTGAAGCTTCAGTGGCAAAGGGGAAGATGGAGAGCAGGCACTGATGCAAAATGAACTTAAAGTCCTTGCTGTAGACTAGAGCCTTAAGAAGCAATTTAGCCAGTGGGTAACATTTTGCTATTGAACATTATCTTTCAAACATTCCTCCACACTTATGTTAGGGTTTCTTTTTAACAAAAAGAAATAGAACAGGATTACTGCATTGCAAGTTGTATTTTTTCCTTTGGGGTATTTTTAAGAAGTGTACACATAAGCACCAGATAAATCAAAGAACGCTTGAAGTGGATTGTCTCAGTTCCCTGAGGAACTGATTGCATTCACATTAGATTTTTATTTTTTTTAAGAGTTAGAAAGGACACTTAATGATCAACCTCTGACCTTCTATGGGCATTTTCTCTAGAACTTGCTACACGAAGTTTGAATCTTCTGGCTATCTTCAATTTTTTTTAAAAAAAAAATCTATTGGTTTTCATACTTCTGTGAACACATGTTGGCAATTACGCTATAATAGGCATGATAGGATTTCATCCCATGCTATATTTTTCAAGTATTACTACCACAAGAAAGGACCGTTGGCCATGATAACAGAATGTCGGTGTTGGAAGAGACCTTGGAGGTCTTCTTGTCCAACCCAGGGATGAAATCCAGCAGGTTCTGACAGGTTCTGGAGAACCGTGGCGGAAATTTTGAGCAATTCAGAGAACTGGCAAATACCACCTCTGGCTGGCCCCAGAGTGGGGTGGGAATGGAGATTTTGCAATATCCTTCCCCCAGGAGTGGGGAGGGAATGGGGACTTGGCGGTATCCTTCCCCTGGAGTGGGGTAGGAATGGAGATCTTGCAGTATCCTTCCCCTGCCACCAAGCCACACCCACCAAGCCACACCCACCAAGCCACGCCCACAGAACCGGTAGTAAAAAAATGTGGATTTCACCACTGGTCCAAAACCCCTGCACAAACAGGAGATCCTATACCATTCTGGTCAAATGGCTGTCCAATCTCTTCTTGTAAAACCTGCAGTGACGGAGTAGGTTAGCAAAAGCCCCTCAATCTTTCCTCACCAAAAAAAAAAGAAAGAAAAGAAATAAAAGGAATCGCTGGCTTGCCCAATGTTCTTAGGATGAAAAAACTATAGGAAGAAAGGCTATCTCAGGGGTGGGTTTCAAAAATTTTAGCAAGGGGGTCTCTGCCCGGCTGCTGGGTGGGCATGGCTCAAATGCAAAAAGGGAAACATTTCTCCTTCTGTTTTATTTTTACTTTGTTTTGCTAGCCCTCTGCCAGTGAAAACGAGGCCGGTGGGGGATGCATGTGCTCCAGTGAAAGCTCCATTTTCACTGCCAGAGGGCTGTAGGAGGCCACGGCGGCCGAAAACAGGGCCCAGGAGGGCTGGGTGCAGCCTTCCCCAGTTCCGTTTTCGCTGGCAGAGGCACTGAGGGCCAGTCCTTTGCTGTTTCCAGGGCATCCCCGTGGGCCAGATCTAAGCACCCCACGGGCCTGATCCAGCCCGCGGGCCTTGAGTTTGACACCCCTGCCATACATCAAGCTTCAGATATAGGTGGTCCTCGACTTACAGCCATTCATTTAGTGACTGTTCAAAGTTACAACAGCATTGAAAAAAGTGACTTATGACCATTTTTCACACTTATGGCCATTGCAACATTCCCATGGTCATGTGATCAAAATCCGGACACCTGGCGATTAGCATGTCTTTGTGATGGTTGCAGTGTCCTGGGATCATGTGATCCCCTTTTGTGACCGTCTGATGAGCAAAGTCAATGGGGAAGCCAGATTCACTTAACAACCATGTCATTAACTTAAAGAGCCGAGGTGGCGCAGTGGTTAGAGTGCTGTACTGCAGCTACTCCAGCTGACTGCTAGTTCAGCAGATCAGCAGATCAAATCTCACCGGCTCAAGGTTGACTCAGCCTTCCATCCTTCCGAGGTAGGTAAAATGAGGACCCAGATTGTTGGGGGCAATATGCTATTTAGTATACTGTGGATTGTTGTAAGTCCTCGGAGACTGGGCAGCATAGAAATATGATTAATAAATAAATAATAACTCCAGTGATTCGCTTAAGATTGAAAAAGAAGTCATAAAATGAGGCAAAACTCACTGTCTTGCTTAGCAACAGAAACTTGGGGCTGATTTGTAGTCATAAGTTGAGGACTAACTACATGCAACATCATCTTCTTCTTACTCCATTTAAAGCACCTCATCCTACCTAATAGCAGATTTAAACTAGGGTACCGTTCTGTTGTTATATCACTAATGAATGAAAATGTTTCTTTACATAGTCTGTGAGAGCATTTAGGGTAGCGAAATGCCAAATAATTGTCGTTGGTCAATTTTCCTCCTGACTCCAAAACAAAATGATTTTTCCCGCTTCTATAATTTGTACAACTAATAGTTGATTGCTGGAGGTGTCTACTGCTATTATAGGCCCCCCCCCA